GAGCTAGGAATGTCGGCTGCTTTTTTTTTTTCTTTTCTTTTTTTCCTTCCCCTCCCCTCTGCCACTGAATCATTGACTGTGGCATGTTGACTTCCTGGTGTTTGGCAAGGAGGAATAATTTCTATCCAGTTCTAAAGCCCTCTGAATTCTTTCATATTGAAAATAGTTATGAGGCAACTTTCTTTGTACAAAAAAGGCTGGGATTTGGAGTCAAAACCTAAATTAAAACCATGGTATTGAGAATAACTTTAGGCCAGTCATCTTGCATTTTTGGCTCAATTTTTTCATTAGTTATTGAGATGTGAATGCTAAATACTATTAGCAATGTATGTTACTGTATATAGGAAGCAAGAAAATGACTTTGCTCTTTAAAAAAAAAAAAAAAGTGTAGACTATACCATAAGGTTAGTCTACCTAAGACATCTATGGGAGGTCCATAACGCAGTTCTAGTGTCATTAGCTTGTAACAGCTGTAATCATTTGAAAAGGTAAGTTAGGATTGCTTTGTAGTCACCATTGAAAGTGCAGAGCACCTGTGTTAGGCTTGACTGTGTAATGTGTTTGGCCCTGTGTGCCTGCTGGGAGCTTAAACCAAAACCGCAATACCGTGCACCTTCCCTCAGCCTTTGAAACGCCCTCGAGCAGTTCGGCCTCTCGAATGGCTGTCTGTCCATTTTCTTCGTTTGCAGGAGACCTGTTGAGCGGTGTGGCTCATCTTGGTTATTCCTGATGCCTTCAAGGTACGATCGTTAGGAAGCGTCCTACACAAGCGAAATACTATTACAGGCAGAGAGGAATTACGCAAGCCTGGCAACTAGTGATTAAGGGTAAAAAGAGAGTTATTCGGCCAAAGCTCGATCTTGCTTTTTGGTATGAATCTGCCGAGCCCACGTCACTTGAGAATCGGATTTCGGAGCAAATACAGCTGCGTGTTACGATAACGGGAAGGTGAACGCGAGCACCCTCGGGCCCGGGGGTGCTGGCCGAGCAGCCCTCGAGCGGCGCGTTGCGAGGCGAACGCG